AGAATAGGTAATCGAATAACTTCTACGGTTCATCAGCACGGAGTATTTCGAGCTTTCCCCTCGCGGACAAGTCATGCAATTACTATTTATGGTTGTTGCTCGACATGGTTTGTGTTTTTCCCGCGATTGGGATGAAGCATGAAAAGCTTGTTTCTTAAGCTGGAAGTAACCAAGGCAATGATATTGACATTTGGATTGTGAATGTATTTGATTATATTTAACTTCACTGTTCCACTGCCTTATATATCAGGGACATGTCACAGATAATATCTAAATTTGTTACAATATATAATGTGATCCTTAAACTTTTTATTTGGTAAATATAATCCATGAATTTTAACTCAATGTGCAGTATGATCTCTGAACTTTCAATTTGATCAATGTGGTCCTTGAATCTTTGATACATGTTCAATTTAGTCCATGGACTAGATATTCCAAGGACTGGATTGAATCAAGGGATATAATAATTTAGGGACTAAATTGAACATTTACCAAAAGCATATGGACCACATTGAATAAATTAAAAGTTCAAGAACCAAATTGCACATCAAGCAAAGTTTATGGACCATTTGAGTAATTATCCCTGTATACTGTGACAATCCTATTAGACGGAAGATGGGACTTCAATTGAAGATTGAAAATTGAAAAAAGATTAATTATGATGAGGAGGAGCTATTCGAACATCCAAATGATCTGATAGTATGGAAATTATCTTGTTCCATCGCCAGCCGAAAATGGAATGTCCAACTTAATTTTTTGTTTTTCATTCTATTCATGTCCTTAGGCATTTCGATTACAATATATCATCTTTCATTTTATATATGAATTAGAAATCCTACACAAAAGATATGAGAATTCCTTATATATATAAAAAAAAAAAAATCCCCACATCAGATCTTATTACTTCAAAATGACCACAATTTAAGTTAATAGCCACCAATTAGGTGTAAAATGTTTGAGAACAAACTTAATTCACCCAAATGAAAATTAAGGACATAATAATTTATTGGATTATGAGAATGAGATAGTCAGATATCATAGAAAAATTAAAAATCAAGAGTAAGAGAATAAATAAGAAGTGGAAGGTATAAGATTCATAAAAGTAGATGTATGAACTTTGTTCTTATTTAGAAGAAGTCATCCGAAGGCTTCTTCACACTAAATTCAAAGGACAATCTGCATCAACTTTAAAAGTAGTATAATAACAAGTCAGAAGCTAAGTGTAGAGTCACATGCGCTGACCCTAAATTAATTTTGATGATTACAAAACCTTCTCAAGATTGAGTAATTCATTTATCTGATTATTTAGTGGAATTTGTAATATTGATTTACACAGGTTCGCGAGTTTCGGAAGTTGCGGTGAAGTGAGTCCGAGCAGAATCGAACGTCCAACCACGGTTGGTTCATACGTCCGACATTGAAGCCCTCTTGCTCGAGAGTCCGAAGAGAGTTAGACGTCCGGCTTGCAACTTTTTTGGATTTGGTCATGTGTCATTGACCTTTCGGATGCACATAGATTAATAATTTTACCCCTGTTTTCGGGCGTGCAACCTTTCCGGTCCGAGCGTCCAACTTCGCTAACGATCGAAAAATTAGCAATTTAAAATGTGATTAACAGCTAATTTAGCTTGGTTTTCTTATAAGCAAGACTCAGTTCAAATCCAAATCATTGAGAGAACTGATTTGTATCGAGAAAATCAAGTATAAGAGATTTGATTGATCATTATACCAAGTTGTAAAGAAGAGTTCCCTCCATCGACAACCAACTTTTGTACAAGTTTTTGACTAGTGGATTGGGCTCAACTCACGATTGGGCTCGGGGGAGTAGCGCGGGCACTAATTTGGACCGAACCAATATAAATCGGCTGAGCATTTCTCTTTCCCTACTCTCTTTATTAATATGCATATTACTAATATGCATATCACGTGTTTGATAGATTGTCCATTCACATTTGTGTTTATTTAGTTGAAGTTTGAAAGCATATTTTGGATATCCAGGCCAACAATTATTCAATCAAAAACAAAAGAAATTTATACATTCAGTAAGAAAGAATATTATGAGGTGTAAAATAAGCATTAGGTAGTTCATATCTTGAAATGACAATGAAAAAAAATAGGAAATTTATTATTGAACGCTCTATACAATAATGAAAATGAAAATTATACAATATCTGTTAGTAGTTTGTTTGTAAAACAAACAAAGAGGTATCTTGTCTTGTCTTGTCTTATCTCACATAGAAAAGATGGGAGTATGTGTGTGTCAATATATAAATGGGGACGTTTTTTAACATTACAGTTGAATATAATGGGCTAAGTAGGCTCTACTTACAATACCTACGTGCAGGTGCCTAATTATTAGGCACAATTAGCGCTTAACGTGCTCGCGGATCAGAATTGACACTAACCAACATTTATTATTATTTTTAATATGGATGCTTATTTTTTGGCTAACGGTTACTAGGCATCTTATAGCCTTTGAAATCTTGTACCTTTTCAGAAGTTATAAAATTCGGAATAAAAAATTTGATTATTATTTTTTTATCCGAATTTACAGTTTGTCTTTTGAAACAATATCTATTCAAAATGCAACGTATTCAGAGGAAAGGTTGTACATGTTCTAAAACACATTTATAAGTTCGTTATTTCCGTTTTGATACCTTTTACTGCTCGATTTTCCTTTCTAAAACAAATAATAGTCATTGTTTTCAATTGTTTCCCTTTTGAGAGTTCTTGGAGAAATACCAAAATTGTTATCTCGGTTGTAGGGCAATTAATTCCTTAAAAACAGTATATTCACGCCTCAAAATCTAATTCCATTTTTCCCGATTGATTTTTCCCACAAGTTAAAAGGTAAATAAACTGAGTTGGTCACTTAATTACTACGATCTTATTTTAGCACATTTTTCATGCAGCAATTACTGATAAAAAGAGATGCCCTAACTTCTATTAAGTGTATGTGTCACAACTGTGATGTCCTTACGATAGTTTGTAAACACCGTCTCATCCAATTTTTAGGTTCTATTGACCGCCTGCAGTATTAAACATGTGTTTTTACCACTTCATAGTATGCTAAAGCACAACACATGTACGACACGGCCATAGTTACACCAAACAGAACACAAGACGATAATCAATCTAAGATGGTCTAAACGACACTCCATTTAAGTCAATTTTGATGCATCGATGTAATTAAAGATGATGTGGGGGCTGTAATCTTGCTTAATTCACTTAGATTAAGGCTCGTTCGTTTCGCGAAAAATGTTACGTTTCTGGTAGAAATCCATTTTCCTGGAAAATGACATAATTTTCCGGTGTTCGGCTGAAATTTGAAAAAAAACTCGGAAAATATTTTTTGTTGTTTGGTATGGAAAAGATTTTCCTCCTTGCAATACTTTTACTAATTTTTTATTTTTATTTTTAAAAAAAGTTTTTAATTTTATTATTTTTCTTTTTTTTTGGCGACCGGGCGGAGAAGAAGAAGAAGGAAAAAAAAGAAAAAGAAAAAGAAAAAAATAATAAAAAAAATTAGAATTTTAAAAAAAGAAAATAAAAATAATTATAATGAATGATGAAAGAAGGAGGGGGGAAATGTTTTCTTCTTTTTAAAAAGTGAAAAACATTTTCCTCACTTTTGAAGGTGTTTTGTCTATTGAGGGAAAACGTTTTCCGCAGTTAGTTTATTTTCCGCCCCCCGAACACCGGAAAACTCTAGAAAATATTTTCCGCGAAACGAAGGGAGCCTAAGAGACTAGCTTGCAATGCATTAATTTGCATAATGTAATGGGTCCAATATGGTACGGCATGGTACTAGAGTAATTATATTCAAAGCTTTCGAAACATTATCCATAAATATTACTGATAATGAAAAAAAACGGTTCTCGGAAAATAGATTTAAACCATGAATGGATAACAACCACCCAACAATTCAAAGTAATAATGCCAAATTTTTGCCAAGATATAATTTTTTTTTTAAAGAAACGAAATTTTAAGATTCTAATAAGATAAACTATGTAACTGTTCCTTACCAAAAAAAAAAAAACTATGTAACTGCAAACACCTTACCAAAAAAACAAAAAAACTATGTAACTGCAAACTAGAAGAAGTGATAACCAAGCTCAGCTGCTATAAACTTCAAGTTTCCTATTTCCACTCAAACTCCTCTCACCACATGCACTCATCCTTTTAAGCTTCATTTTCACGAGGATATCTCTTTGAATACATGGAAGATGCGGCTTGGTCGAACATTGAAGGCTGTACAAAGTTTATTATATGACGAGGAGAAGAGATTCGAACATCTGAATGCTCTCGAATAGTACCACGTAAATCATCTTGTACGGTCGCTAACCGAAGACGGAAGGTACAACTTATTTATTTTTCTCTTTGGAAACGTAGGATAGTTCCGACATTGATTTGAACATCCGAATGCTAGAATACCATGTACATCATCTTGTACCGTCGCCAACCACGAAGACCGAACGTGCGACTCACTTCTTCTTCTCGTTGGAAACATAGATTCAAAACCATGAACGGATGACAACAATCCAACAGAGTCTGGCCAGAATCCAAGAAAATAAGTTTCGAGATGTATTTTTGAAAAAAAAAGAAGAGATTTTAAACAAAGATAAGAAGGTTGTAAGAGGACAGACTATATCAACAACCCAATTAGAAGTAAGTGATAACCAAAGCTCAACTGCTATAAATTCCTAGTTTCCTATTTCCACTAGAATTCCTCTCACCATACTCATCCTTTTAAGCTTCATCCCACGAGGAGATCACTCCGGCATGTAAAGAAAGCGTCTCGTCTTCGATAGATCTGTTCATTCAACCTGTAAGTTGAATCAAAGAACACTGTATGTTCGCATGTTGCCTGTTAGATTTCTGCTTCCATGTCCATGTTCGGCGACGATACCATAAAGTTTAGGACTCGCGTGTTGTTCTGATACCCGTTTTGTGTTACTGGAGAATTAGCTCGACCGGTTGGCTAAGAGAAGATACTCCCCATGGGAAAGAATAATCCAAGGTCGGCGCCGAGCAGTGGTCGCGGAATAGAAGACGACGTAAGGCACTTGCACCGCGTCCCATCACGATTCCATCCTTCTTCATCGATGAACTTTTTTGGTACATGATCGGTTGTCTTGTATTGATGCAGTGTTCAATGCTTCTTCCTTGTAGGTCAAGGATTTGATTGAGAAATGCTTGCAACTGTACATGAATATGCACGAGGTGATAATCGCTCTAGGCGAACATTTTAACATAGAACCTCATCTGACATTCTTAGGTAAGATTCTGCTCTCCTCAATTCGAATTGGGCTCGTCTTTTGAATTAGGGTTTATGTTTCTATCACTCGCCTTGATTGGAGCTGCTTTTCCTCAAGAGGAAAGAATCGGCAGCCCTCCGTAAATTTTAAAAACCTTGGCATATTTAACTGATTATTTATGCTTTCTGAGTTGATCCTGATTGAGATGAATTTTCCGAATTCAGTGTGGAAGAAATTAGAAGAGGACAACCCGCGATTTTTCCGTGATTACTACATTCGCTTGAAGTTGATCAAACAAATCACTAGGTTCAATCGGTTGCTTGAGCAACAACAACAGTACGAACTGATGCTACAAGAGGCATTTAGGAAACCGACACCGCCTCAAAGCGAGCCTTCTCCTGATATTGCTGGTGAGTCTTTGCATAGTTCTTCTTAAAGCAACAAAGTCGTACAATATGTATGATGCACGCTGCTCTTGTCGCAATTTAGGCGGGATTTACCAGCAGCAGCTCTCAAATGCGATGACAGTGCAGTATGGCCACCATGTTTTAGGCGGCATGTATGGGGATCATTGTGCTTCGAATGCAACTGCTGCGGTTGCCTCTATGGAAAGCCCTGTCCAAGCTCACAGCTTTCACTCTATTAATCGGAGAGAGTAACTTATTTAATACGCATTGAAACTTCTGCTTGCATTGTTTATCTCATGATCAGGGGTCATCTATGGGGTGCAACTAAGAATGAAATTTTAATTTGCTATCACAATGTGCTTGATTTCTGAAACATGCATAAGTATCCCTGTTGAACAGCAATTAATATCCCTATCCTTGTCATAATCAGTGTTAATACTTCAGGTTGTTGACACATGCGAGCTCGGAACAACCGATACCGTCGAATTGCGGTGTCCCTTTCGACCTGCTAGGGATGTGTGAACAAGGTGCAAATCCCACCCCGTTTGATATGCAGAATCAAGGCCACTTAAGCCGCCTGAACGATCCGGCTTCTTCCAGCTTGCCCGATCACGGAGGTGAGACATCATGTGATGACTCTACATTACATGCCCTTCCTCGCCGAGACGTCGATAGCTGAGACCTTTCCCTCCATTTAGTTAGGTTACAGCATTAGCTAAAAACCGAAGCAACGTTTGGCATCCATAGTCAAACTAAACTAGCAATTTGGTCGTGTAGCTTGTTCTTGATTTTGCAATTTCCTGTGCAAAACAATGATCTTGCGGACAAAGTCATCGCTTGCTTGTGTTGTTATCGGGTGCAGTTTTTGAAACGGAAGCAGATCAACCTGACTCCCTGGATTTTCTCCTCGACTCTCCAGAGCACTACGACACTGGTAATGATCTTCTCCGTGTTCCTTTCACCAGTCTTTTGCTTATTCAAACCGTTAGTTGCCTCAACCGGTGCTAACTTTGCGCATCTCGCTTCCGACCGACCAGAGCTCCGCAAACGTTCCCGAGATTAGGCCTTTCGTCTGATTCCGACCGTCAGCCGTACTTTTTTCCCTGCAGGACGGCTTCCTGACACGCCGCCGGAGCCTCACCCGGGATCTCAAACAGCCTGAGGCGTCGCTCGCCGTCTCTGCTCAACATCACTTTACCGCAGATTGCACGCCGCGCCATTTGGTAGTCATTGCGATGTACAAATCGCTTCCTTTTCGTTACTTGCAATATTATGCTAAATACTCATGTAGTTTCAATCGATATTTGTAATCTAGAACATATATATTTCAATCAGGTCAATTTTTTTCGTGACGGTGGGAAAGAAAGTTCATCATGAAGAGAAATTGTCATAATTTTGTCGTTTTTTTTTAATTTTCTTATATCTTGTGAATTATTATAAATACCTTACATGGATAAAATTGTTCTTTTTGCTAACTTATTTAGCTAAAATTGGCGTCACCTAAATTACTAATGCGCACGCGATTTAGCATCATAGAAAGTGTTCTTTGACGGGAGACTTACACAAATATGACGTCACGCCGAGAGGGTTGACCTTAACAGCGATATTAATGACTGAGAAGAGGGTCTCGTTATGACTTATGATTACTGTACTTTCACTCAAATTACCAAAACATTCGTCATCCACGGATGACAATTTAATTATAAGATTTTCAATTTTACCAATATAATCACAGGACTTCACGCGAAATTCCAATATAATACTTTAGGCCAATTATCTCTGAAATTGATGGCATGGTGATCTACTAGTTATTCACGTCAATGTGCCACGTAAAACGGCCGACGATGACTGGACACCATGTGGCCTAAAGGACTAGCGATTTCCGACGGCAATTAGCTTAAAGGACTACATTACTCCATGCAAAAGTTTAGGGTTATATCAACAAAATTGATTATACTGTATTGACATCCATATAATAGTTTTATGAGCAATTGAGTAATTATCCCAAAAAAGTGTCATTGGTCATGCATGAACGTGATGGATTTTGCTCAAGTAAATTCCTGACTTGAACTTGATAGAAGAAGCTATATTTGACCAACTCCCTCGCCCCTTCGTTGAGATACATATGTGAGTTGTGTTAGAGAAGTCTCACATTGAAGAATTGATGCGGCATGGAACAGTTAATATATCTTAATAAGTTAAATTCATTAGCATAAGCTTTTGAGTCAAAATAGATGCAACTGGATATATTGATAAGTTTGGCTGTGCCCTCTAGTTTAGGGGTCTTAGGGTTTTAATATTTTTAAATTTTTTATGTTGTTCATTTATCACCTATGTAACACCTTGTAAAATATCGAGCGAATCATAACACAACACATGTATCATGACGTCCGCAACTCATCGATTCGACTATCTATGTAAGAGAAAATCGACTTGCAAGAGGAAAAAAATATTAGGAATATGAATTATTTAAAGGCGTAAAAATGAACGATTTCGAATTTCTGGCCCATTCGACAAAAAAAAAGGGTTATTGTACACCAAAAACCCCAAACAGGTACACGTGTGACAAATTTACCTTAAACTAATTTTTTTACCACCAAAAATCTAAACTGGTACACCTGTAACAAATTTACCCTCCATTAAATTAAATTAATACCACGAAAAATCATAAATTGATAAACATGTAATAAACGAAGGGGGTAAAAACCCAAACTGGTACACCCGTCAACCGCCTCATGTCATCAAAGGGTAAATTTGTTACGGCTGTATCGATTTATGATTTTTTATGATTAAAAAATTAATTATGAGTAAATTTATTACGGATTCACTAATTTGGGTTTTTGGCCGATGAATCCAATATTTAAAGGCGTAAAAATGAAAGATTTCTGAATTTCTGGCCCGGCCCAATGGCGAAAGCGTCATATCACAAATCTCACCGGCTAAAAAACACCTCACCGTCCGACGTCAGCCTTCGCTTCCCTCCCCAGTCCTCCCCCCATCTCCTCGCGCTCCGACGTCCATGGCTTCTTCTTCTCCTCCTCCGTCGTCGCTCTCCCTCTCCTTCTCCTCCTCGCTTCCCCGATCCCCACTTCTCGAAGGCGGCGCCGCCGCCACCGCCGGCAGAAGAGGCGCGGCGGTGTCCCTCCCGGCCCCGTCGTCCCGGCGGGTGGTCCTGTGCGCGTCCGCGCCACCCGCGAGGAAGGGCGCGAGCGCCAAGCCCTCGCCGCCTTCCTCGGCGGCCACGAAGAAGAGGCACTGGAAGGAAGGAGAGTACCCTGGGATCTCCGAGAATTCGGCGGCGGCGGCGAACGGGAGGAGGCGGCGGCCGCCTCTGAAGAACGTGAAGAAGAAATTGGACCGGCAGAGCAACGCCGCGGCGTGGGCTTGTACCGTCACCGAAGCCCTTTCCGATCGCATTCTCAAGAAGCAGTGGATGGAAGCGCTTGAGGTGAGCGGGTGTGAATTCGTGCTCGATGATTTGTTGAGCTTCAGGTTCAGCAGGTATCTGGAATGGAATGGCATGATAATGCTTAGCTAGGAAGTATCTGTTCCTGCTCTTATGGGATGGTTGTGGTGCAGCAGATACGTTCAAATTTGTGTTCCTGGACTCAAATTTTGGTTGTCTCGAAGTCGAATTGATTGTTTCTCTGCATTGTCTCACTGATTATTTCTTTGCCGTTGCGCAACTTGATGATGGTCTTATCTGTATTGGCTGGCCTTAGTACGTGTTGGATATTCTTGTTCTTCAAAAGATGACACATGTGGCTGAATTAAAAGCTGGTTTTGTGTACTGTTTGTTTAACTTGGCATTGCCGATGAAATCTGTACCAGATCGTTGCTACGATGTCCCGTGGTGGCAATGTTTTTCAGTAGGTTAATGGTAGTTGCTTTTTGTTCGTCCAGGTTTTCGATATGCTGAGGGAGCAGCCATTTTATCGACCAAAAGAAGGGACTTACATGAAACTCCTCGTTCTGCTCGGTAGATCGGGCCAGCCCGACCGTGCTCGCCAGCTGTTCGATACAATGGTCGATGAAGGATGCGAACCCACTTCTCAACTCTATACAGCTCTGCTGGGGGCTTATTGCAGGAACAATCTCATCAATGAGGCATTCTCAATTCTCAGTCGAATGAAGGGCCTCCCTAATTGTCAACCGGACGTTTTCACATATAGTATCCTAATTAAGGTGTGTGTCGACTCTTCACGTTTTGATTTGGTCGAATCACTTTACCGGGAAATGGCTGATCGGTTGATAACTCCTAACACCGTCACACAAAACATAGTTTTAAGTGGTTATGGGAGGGCTGGAAAATTCGATCAGATGGAAAAGGTACTTTCGGGTATGCTTGAGAGCACAGAGTGCAAACCAGATGTCTGGACAATGAACATCATTCTCAGTGTGTTTGGCAACAAGGGGCAGATTGATGTGATGGAAAGATGGTATGAGAAATTCCGAAATTTCGGGATCGAACCAGAAACTCGGACTTTTAACATACTCATCGGTGCATATGGAAAGAAGAGATTGTATGACAAGATGTCATCTGTGATGGAGTACATGCGTAAGCTTCAATTTCCTTGGACAACCTCGACCTACAATAACATGATCGAGGCTTTTGCAGATGTTGGAGATGCACACAACATGGAATATACTTTCGATCAGATGCGCGCTGAGGGCATGAAAGCAGATACCAAGACATTCTGCTGCCTTGTACGTGGATATGCCAATGCAGGTCTCTTCCATAAAGTCATAAGTAGCGTCAGATTAGCTGGCAAGTTTGAAATACCAGAGAACGCATCATTCTATAACGCAGTTATATCAGCATGTGTAAAAGCTGAGGATCTATTGGAAATGGAGAGAGTATTTAAGCGGATGAAAGACAAGCACTGTCGCCCGAATTCGACCACCTACTCAATTATGATAGAGGCATATCGAAAAGAGGGAATGCACGACAAGGTCCATGATTTGGAACAGGAGAAAGAGGAGACTGTTCTTGATGGGTCCGAGAACGAGTATGCCCTCGGGCCAGAGCCGGTGGCGGATGCTTAAGGAAACCTGAGCAAGTACTGTGGCCTAGTGCAGGTGTGCCGTGGATCATTCGCGGGTTTTCTCATACAGCACGGGCTCTTTCCATGCTGCAGATAATGCGGGTTCGGCCTCTCGACGGTCCTTTGGATCCAATGATGCTTCGGGATAGTTTGCTCAGGTGGCTCAAACCAATGTACGCAGCTGATGTACCAACAGAGGTAACTAGTGTGCTCCAATTGATGATATCTTTTCTGGCCGGTGGGAAAAGTGGTCATTCATGTATCTGTGCGATTCATGGCAAGGAAAAAGAGAAGCTGTGATTAAGTATTGTTGTATGCTCTGTGTTTTAATGTGTTCCGCAGCTTGTTTAGTAGAGGATAGGTGATATGAATTAGAGAAGAAAACTCGAAGGCACTGCACTCCGTTAAATCGGTCTATGGCTTGGCAAGTGTATACGCCTTTATTTGGCTCAATTCCCTAAAAAAATCACCAGCTTTAGGTCGAGTCCAAATTTGGCTCCGAGCTTTTTTCGTATTATGAAAAATCACCAATTTTCACACTTTACCCAACTTTGCCCCCGGTTAACTTTCCATCCAATCATTACCTTTAATGATTTGATGTGGCAATTCTCCGTCATTTTCTTTTTCCACATCAGATTTTTATTTTTTTCCTTCTCTTTCCTTTTGTTTTTTTTGCTTCTTCGTTCTTTTCAGTTTCGCCATGGATCCCTTCATCGTCTCCCTGTTCTAGGTGTGATAGTATTAGAGAGAAAGAAAAACTGACAATATGCAATGAAGTACGTCTATTTCTTACTTCTTAAAAAAAAACAGAATGCTTACAACGGATGCTCTTTTAAAGAGCTAATACATGACGGTTAAGAAAGAAAGTGCATCCACTAACTCCTAAAAAGCAGCAACGTGCAGAAACCACCTACTGACTTGGTAAAACACTAATCCATGTTCAACACCACTATAAAATAGACTCCTAAAAACTAGGACAACAAACAACTGACTATAATAGGATAGATAAACATGGTCAAATAAGATCACGTGACTCAACAATCCCTCCCTTAAATTGAAAGTTTGCCAACATTCAGTTTAATACAACTTATCAACACCAAGTAGGAGCTTTTGAAATGTAGCCAACTTGAGGGATTTAGTAAAAATATCAGCAACTTGATCTTCACTTTTACAGTAGATGAGATCAATGACTCCTTCCTTCGTGAGATCCCTTGAGAAGTGAAACTTCACATCTATATGTTTGCTTCTTCCATGTAAAACAGGATTTTTGGAGAGCTTTATTGCTGAACTATTGTCACAATAAATTGCAGTAGGTCCTTGACTCTTGAAATGAAGTTCTTCAAGAATTTTCCTCAACCAAATAGCTTGACAAGCACATGAAGTTGCAGCAACAAATTCAGCTTCAGTGGTTGATAAAGTGACAATTGGCTGCTTCTTTGATGACCATGAAATAGCTCCTGAACCCAACATAAATACATATCCGGAAGTGCTCTTTCTATCATCTTGATCTCCAGCATAATCACTATCAGTGAAGCCCATCAAGCTTGAGTTTTCTCCCTTCTTGTAGAGCAGTCCAAAACCAGTCGTACCTTGCAAGTATCGAACAATTCTCTTGGCAGCAAAGAGATGCATCTCGGTAGGATTCTCCATGTATCTGCTTATAAGACTCACAGAATACATTATATATGGTCTTGTTGCGGTCAAATACATTAAGCTTCCCACAATTTGCTTGTACATAGTGCTGTCAACTCTCTTTCCTTCACAATCTTTCGCTAACTTCAAATCCGCCTCAGTTGGTGTGCTAGAAGGATTACAATTCTTCATTTGGAACCTGTCTAAAATGTCTTGCACATATTTTCTTTGTGAAATGAAAATTCCACCAGCGAATTGAACAATCTCTATCCCAAGAAAATAGTGTATCTTTCCAAGATCAGACATCAAATTCAAGCATCATAGACTGCTTAAATTTTTCAAACATGGCTCTATCATTTCCAGTATAAATCAAATTATCCACATATAAGCAAACAATAAGCATCTTCCCTTCATCTCTAGTTTTGACAAAAAGTGTATGCTCATATGGACACTTTTGAAGACCTTCCTTCAGAAAATAGGCCTCTATACGACTGTACCAAGCCCTTGGAGCTTGTTTTAGTCCATATAAAGCCTTGTTTAGTTTATACACCTTGTGCTCACTTCCAAACTTTACATAACCAGGAGGTTGATCAATAAATACATGCTCTTCCAAGATGCCATGTAAAAATGTCGATTTCACGTTTAACTGGAAGATAGGCCATGAGTTTTGCGCCGCCAGTGCAATCACCAACCTGATTGTGTCATGTCGAGCAACTGGAGCGAACACTTCTTTGTAGTCAATGCCAAACTCTTGCTTGTAGCCTTTTGCGACTAAGCGAGCTTTGTACTTATCAACTTCACCATTCTCCTTCAACTTCGTCTTGTACACCCACTTCACGCCAATGGTCTTTTACCCTTTCAGAAGCTCTGTCAACTCCCAAGTATTATTTCTTTCAATGGTTGCAATTTCAGCATCCATCGCCTTCTGCCATTTTGGTTCTTTAACAGCATCTTTGAAAGCTGCTGGATTGCAATCTGAGAATAAAGCAAAATGAGTAAGGGGATATTCAGATTGGTCAATCCCGATTACCTCATAATCAGTCATCCATGCAGGCCTTCTTCTAACACGTCGAGGTCGTTGTTCATCTACTGTTTCAGAGGCTGAAATGCATTCATTGATTGTTGGTTGTTGCTCATTTTCTACGGATTGTGCATTCTCCAAAGGCTGCTGCATTTTTTCTCCATTTTCTCCATCAAAATCAGCTTGTATTTGTTGTTCAACATTGTTTTCATCCCAAATCCAGAACCGCTCTTCATCAAAAATCACGTCACGACTGATGACAGTTTTCTTGGTGATAGGATTGTACAATTTGTACGCTTTTGACTGCTCACTAACACCAAGAAAAATGCATTTTTCACTTTTGTCATCAAGCTTGCTCCTCTTCTGATCTGGAATGTGGGCAAATGCTATGCAACCGAAGATTCTGAAATGCTCGACACTTGGTCTGCGTCCACTCCAAGCTTCTTCAGGCGTCAGGTTTTGAACAGCAAGTGTGGGGCTTCTGTTCAATACATGAATGCTCCAATTGACAGCTTCATGCCAAAAACTTCCAAGGACACCACTTCTTGCCTAAATGGTTCGTACCATGTTCACGATCGTGCGATTCTTCCTCTCTGCAACGCCATTCTGCTGCAGTGTATAAGCTGTTGTAAGCTGTTTTTGAATTCCATGAGTCTCACAAAAATTTACGAATTCTTGTGAGTTATATTCTCCACCACGATCGCTGCGAAGAGTCTTTATAAGTGTGCTTGCTTCTTTTTCGACTAGTACTTTGAAGTTTTTGAAAGCTAAAAAAGCTTCAGACTTCTCCTGCAAAAAATAAACCTAGGTTTTCCAACTATAATCATCAATGAACGTTATAAAATAACGTTTACCACCATTTGATGTCGGATTAATGGGTCTGCATAAGTCTGAATGAATCAGTTCCAACACCTTCTTCGCTCTACATGTTTTTCCTTTCGGAAACGGGTCTCGATGTTGTTTGCCAACAACACACTCTTCACAAACTTGAGAAGGACTTTGAATTTGCGGAAGACCCGTCACCATATTCTTTTGCTGCAGCATTTTTAGACCACCAAAATTCAGATGTCCATAGCGAAAATGCCACAACCAGGCTTCGTCCTTCAATCTCGCAGAGAAGCACCATTGGGTGTTGTTATCGAGATATAGTGGAAACATCCGGTTTGTTGTCATGTTGACTTGAGCAATTAAGTCCAACTTTTCATCTTGAATGCGACAAACTCCATCTTTGATAGAGATCTCATATCCCTTCTCTTGTAACTGACCAATGCTGAGCAAGTTGGTTTTCAAATCTGGAACAAAGTAAACATTAGAAATAATATGAGTAGAGTTCTTCTTGGTGTGGATCTTAACGTTGCCTTTGCCTATGACAGAAACTGAAGATTTGTCACCAAACGTCACAGTGTTACGGAACGATTCATCCAAGTCTGAAAATATAGACTTATCTCCACACATGTGATTGCTGCAGCCGGTATCTAAATACCACAAATTGTGATGAACCTCTTCTTTTGCATGACAGGCCATCAACATCGACACTTCTTCTACTTTCTCTGCAAAATGTGATTTTACACCACGATTTTTGTTGAGATTGGTTCTACATTCAGACTTTTAGTGGCCATACCTGTGACATCTATAACATTCAACATTTAACTTGTCTACAAACTTAGATTTGTTACCAGTTGAATAGTTGTTGTCACGGCATTTCGCTTTCCATTTGGAATCAGTAGCATGATCCTCATTTGATTTCTGGTGTGAATCTTTGTCCTTCCATCTCCCTTTCCCACGATCAGGACCTCTTCGATTGGCTACTGCCTTTAATGCTTGTTCCTCTTTATCTTGCTGTACAATTATTTGCTCATGAACCAGCAAAGAACTCTGCAACTCATCAATTGAAAGTTCATCAATATCTTTAGATTCTTCTATAGAACAAAGCGAAATTAAATTTCGGTGTCATTGATCGAACAATCTTCTCGATGATGGTGACGTCATCCATCTTCTTGCCATGGATCCGCATCTTGTTAGCGATCATCATTGTTCTTGATAAGTAATCAGTAACGGATTCGCAGGTCTTCATGCGTAGGTTCTCAAATTCCATCCGAAGCCCTTGAAGTTGCACATGCTTTGCCCTCGCGTTCCCTTGATACTTTTTCTTCATTGCATCCCAAATATGCTTGGAGGTGTCTTTGCAAAGAATTGTCTCCAAGGTTGATTGATCGATAGCTTGAAAAAGGTAGTTCTTGGCTTTGAGATCCTTTAGTTTCAATGCATCTAAGTCAGCTTTTTGTGTGTCAGTCAATACCACTCCAACCGCTGGTGCAACTCTAGAATCAACGACATGCCAGTACTCTTTGGACCGCAGGAAATTCTCCATCAACATGCTCCAATGATCATAGTGACTATCAAAGCGAGGGATAGCTGGCTGAACGAAATTATTAGTGGCCATTGAAAAATTGCTGCTGCCTTCTCACAACCAGGCTCTGATACCACTGTTACAGTATTAGAGAAAAAGAAAAACTAACAATATGCAATGAAGTACGTCTATTTCTTACTTCTTAAAAAAAAAAATAGAATGCTTACAACGGATGCTCTTTTAAAGAGCTAATACATGACGGTTAAGAAAGAAAGTGCATCCACTAACTTCTAAAAAATAGCAACGTGCATAAACCACCTACTGGCTTGGTAAAACACTAACCCATGTTCAGCACCACTATAAAACAAACTCCTAAAAACTAGGACAACAAACAACTGACTATAATAGGATAGATAAACATGGTCAAATAAAATCACGTGACTCAACAATCCCTCCCTTAAATTGAAAGTTTGCCAACATTAAAATCACGTGACTATAATAGGATAGATAAACATAGATCCTCGCCACCTGTTCCAAGATCTCAGTTGTCAAGCTCTTCACCAAAGTCTCCAGGGGCCGCCTCCCTGAGGACTCCCCAATGATCTTTGCTGTCGGCTACTGCCACACCCGTGGGGTCTTCCACCGTGACCTCAAGGCCGAGAACCTCCTCCTCGACAACACAGGCAACTTCAAGGTGTCCGTCTTCGGCCTTAGTGTTGTCCCCGACTAGATCTAGTCCAACGGCTTGCTCCACACGCTTTGTGATAGTGTTGCCTGCGTGGCGCTGGACACCATCAACTCCGACCTTCACCACCACCTCACAAGAGAGCAAAACATAAAAGGAAATGGCCTGGTGAGGTGAGTAAGGTCCATTTGGCAAGTTGCCAAATAGTGAAAAATTCTGTTCTTTTGTTCCCAAAATCTGTTTGGGAACAGAAATCCGTTTGTTAAATTTTTTGTGCCCGGGCACAAATTTGCAAAAAATTGTTCTCAAAATCAGTTTTGGAACAAAATCAAGAAGCAAAAAAAAGTAGCTTCTTGATTCTGGGAACAAGAATCAGAATTGGAAAAGAAATTTTTTTTTCTTCTTCTTCTTTCCCTTCTTTCTGTTCTTCTTCTTCTTCATTCTCAGGCGACCGGCAACACAGGCGAGGGCCGACGCGCCCTCACCGGATCCGGAGAGGGCGGCCCTCACCCAGGCCGCTAGCGGCGAGGGTAACCCTCGCCGGCCTTTTCCAGCCCTTGCCTGAGCCAGGGAGGGTCGCCCTCGAGGCTCGCGGCCTGGGCGAGGGTGGCGGTGAAAATCTAGCCCTCGCCAGCTCGGACGAGGGCTGGAAAAGGCTAGCGAGGGCCGTGACGCCCTCGCCAGCCCTGGCCTGTGGCCGGTTGCCTGCCATGGCCGAGAAGGAGGAGAAGAAAAAAGAAAAGAAAAAGAAAAAGAAAAAAGAAATATTAAAATATTATTAATAAAAAGAAATTTTGTGCCGTTACCAAATGCATTTCTGTTCTTTTTCTATTCCAAGAATGGAAATTTTGAACCATTACCAAATGCCTTCAAATGCTTAGAATCAGTTCCTGAGGCACAGAATAAAAAAGAATCATTTTTGTGCAGAATCAGTTTTCGGGCACAAAATCGTTGCCATGCACACCCTAATAGTGCCTGTACACTATTATTAACTCATCGATTGAAAAATAGACAAATTTTGTAGTTGCCTTGTTCAACCGGCAAAAACTTTGGATAAGTAACCTACATCTAAACTGAATTCTTCTGATTGAAGAATTTAACCTAAGCCTTTAATGGACAAGAATTGAAAGTTAAAACCCCAATCTTCCCTCCTCTCATTGGGAAAATCTGAACCTAATTCAGCCAACACGGCCGCCAACACCACCACGAACACTTCCGTCGCAGGCCTCCGTATCCGCCACTTATGGGTGCCTTTCTCTCTGTCTCACGACTCCAACTGTCACTAGACGGAGCTCTCAACAAGGCGTCGAGCTCCTTGCTCCAACGGGAGTTTGATGCAGCATGAGTTCCGTTGGGTCTCCCTCAACGAGCCCTATTATATCGAATGCTGCGAATTCAATGGCTTTCAGCCATGGGAGGGAGATCAAAGGCATCAAGCTCTGTGCCATCGAGTGAGGCGGTGGTGGAAGGCGACACACGGGGTTGAGCTGATCGCGGGCTGAGTTGATCTTGTCCATGGTGGAAGCGAAAGAAAAAAGAAGGAAAAAGATAGTAAATAATGTATATCTTTTACATGGAATTGTCATATTAGACCATTAACGGCAAGATTGGACGAAAAGATAAGGAAGGCAGATTTGGGTAAGGAGTGAAAATTGATATTTTTAATGAGGCAAAAAAAAAAAGTTTGGGATAGAATAAAGACTCGATTTAAGTTGGTAGTATTTTAGATAATAGACCTTTTTATTTTGTCTTTGTTTTCATATTTTCTTTTAGTAATAGAATAAAAAATCCAAAAGTATGCGCGATACTAGCATCTCAAACCTTTTTTCACCAAAATCCTTAAATGTTTACCAATGTGACGAAAATATGCTCGATTTATTATCAAAAACTCCAAACTTTGTGCACTTTCGTCTTCTTGTAAATGGTGTCAGTGAGAGAGAATCGAGTGTCGGAGGTATTAACTCGATACCACAAACTTTTTCTCAATATCCTCAATATCCAAACTTAATATGTGTGACCAAAATACCGTCCACTACCACAAAAAATCCTAAAATTTGCCTAATGTGTTACCACTATTTCCAAACTTGTACTAGCAACCAAATGTATTTTTGTGAAAATTCACTGCAAATTTTCTAAAATCCAAAGTTTTGGTAAATAAATGGTATTTATGTTATACCGATAAATTTTTGGTGATTTTAGTAAAAAAAAAATTGGGTATTGGTGGAGATAGTCTTTGGTTTTGATGAAACAAAAATTTGTATGATATTAATGTCATAGAGATAGAGAAGACATATGGTTAAATCTCAACCATCCATTCTAAGCATAATGACCTCATCTTAACTTGACAAGGGATGAGTATGGAAAGGATGTATACCGCATTAGGGTGCGTTTGTTTTGCGAAAAATTTAATGATAAAGGAAAATATTTTTCGGAAAATCATTTTCCAGGAAAACACTTAGTTTTCCTTTGTTTGGTGATGCATAATGGAAATTATTTTTTGATGTTTGGATTTCATTGGAAAATGATTTCAATTTCATGACTTTATTTCAGGCTAAAAAAAAATTGAATTTTTTAATTATTTTGTATTTCTTTTATTTTTTGAAAAAATTGGATTTTTTTTAATTTTCTTTTTTTCCTTTTCTTTTTCTTTTTTCTTTTCTTTCCTTTTCTTTCTCCTCCTTCCTCCTCCGCGACCGACCGGCGACGGCCACAGGCGAGCTCGAGCTCGCCGGCGTCGGGCGAGCCGTGACCTCGCCAGCCTTGGTCGAGCTCAGTCGAGCCTAGATCTGGCGAGCCGCAAGCTTGCCGGCCTCGGTTGAGCCTCGAACCCATTGGCCTCTGCAGAGCTCGGGCTCACCTAGATCTGGTGAGCCGCAAGCTCGCCTGTCCGAGCCCGAGCTTGCCTAGATCTGGCGAGCCGCGAGCTTGACCGAGCTCGGGCCCACCTGGATCGGCCGAGCCCTAAGCTCACTAGCCTGGGTCTTGGCCGGTCGTTGGGCTGCTGGCTGTCACCGAGCACGTAGTCTGCGAAGGAAGGAGGAGGAAGGAAAAGAAAGAAAAGGGAAAAGAAAAAAAGAAAAGAGAAGAAAAGATTTTTAAAAAATAAAAAAAAATCGATTTTTTAAAAATAATTAAAAATTAGATTTTTAAAAAAATATATTTTATAAGAACAATTTCAATAATCAAGAAAAAAAAGAAAGAAAAGAAAAAATAAAATATTAAAAAATTCAAGATGAGTAATTCCAGAAAGTATTTTTACCTTATTAAATTAGGGAATTCATTTTCCTAATTTTATACAAGAATTTTTTCTTGACCAGAAAATGTTTTGGGATTGACTTATCATTTTCGGAGAACCAAACGGATGAAAGTCCGGAAAACGGATTCCTGAAAAACACTTTCTCTCTGACGGAAAACGTATAATTTCTAAAAAATATTTTCGGGGAAATCATTTTCCAAGAAGATGAGTTCATTTTTCAGTATTTTGTTAAAACCTAAAAAAGACTTCGAAAGTATTTTCAGTTGTCTGGTGAGGAAAATCTGATGGTGAAAATTATCAAAAATTTTTGTATTTTTTTAAATTATTTCAAATTATTTGTTATTTTTAAATTATTTTTATTAATAAAAGAAAATACATGAATGTTTTCCTTCTTAGAAAGAAAAGAAAAGGAAAATAAATTAAAATAAAAAATATTAACAAATTTAAGATGAGTAATTCCGGAAAGTGTTTTCACATTCTTAGATAAGGAAATTATTTTTCCTAAAATAAAACATTGTATTTGTGTTGAACGAAAAGTTGACCAAATCATTTTCGGAGAACCAAACAAATGAAAATCCAGAAAACACTTTCCGGGAAAACACTTTCACCAAAACATTGTTTAACGGAAAACGTACCGTTTCTGAAAAATGTTTTCCTGGAAATCATTTTCCAAGAAAATGAGTTCATTCTTTGGTGTTTGGCTAAAACCTAAAAAAAACTTGAAAAGTATTTTTAGTTATTTGGTGAGGAAAATCTGATGGTGAAAATTATCAAAAAATTTTGTATTTTTTAAATTATTTCAAATTATTTGTTATTTTTAAATTATTTTTATTAAGAAAAGAAAATACATGAAAGAAAAAGAAAAAGAAAAGAAATAAAGAAAATAAAATAAAAAATATTAACAAATTCAAGATGAACAATTCCGGAAAGTGTTTTTACCTTCTTAGATAAAGGGAATTCACTTTCCTAAAATTAAAAATGATATTTGTATTGACCGGAAAGTATTTTCCGTTGACCAAATCATTTTCGAAGAACCAAACAGATGAAAGTCCATAAAACACTACCAAACAGATGAAAGTCCATAAAACACTTTCCGGGAAAACACTTTAACAAACACATCCTTAGTAGGTTTAGAGAAATTGTCATTCGGGATACAGATCCCAAAGAAAAGGAAAAATATTATAAATGAGCGTGTACCCAAATTGAAATTTTCAACAGCCTATTAACAATAGTTTCTGTGCAAAGTATGGGGAATAGTCTCACATAAATATACGGCTGCACTGGCGGCGGTTTGCTAGTCCCTAAGGTCACACAGATTCAAATTGATCGCCCAGCAACTCGAACCACCTTGTACCCATCTGCGCAAACAAACCGAACGAATAGAACATCCCAGTACAAATCAACAGCCTTTGTATTGCTAAAAATAAATAAATTTGAAAAAAAATCCATTAAAAAGATCATTCGTATAGTTTGTGATCAAACAAAAAATATTTCTATCGTTCACAAAAATATTTAGACATATAACTGAAACATACTAATTATTTTAAGCAATACAAATGAATCATTTTTGAAAAATATTTTCCACATCATTTATTTTTCACAAAGCAAACGAAGCCTAAGTCGAACAGTAAAATAGGTGCACACCCATGATGTCTCGGGACTTCTTAGAAAGTCGAATTCATAAACACCAGCAAGCAAGACTCGTTTCAGGGAGGAAAGGTTCGATTAGATCCAAACTGCAAAATTGTATGTATAATTAGAAAAACCGCAATACTCACTAATGAACCACAGCTTTCAAAGATAAACAATGCACAATGAGCGAGCAATGAGTCCCAGGTTTTCTGGCTTTACGTGGGAACGAGGAACACAAACAATGAATGAACAAATTGCCGCCTCCTTGTCGAGCACAATCAGCTCAGCATGCGTGCGCAGATCACGACGTTAAATTACTTACATCTTATACAGAATCTACACATGCAACGTCACCTTGAGACTCCCTAATCAGAGTTTTGGCGCTGATCCTCCATAACAGTCGATCCAATTCGGTTGTGATTAAACTTTACCACGATACACGTGATGTTGTCTGCACTTCCCCGAGTAAAAGCAGCCTCTGTCAATTTCCTGGCTGCTGCTTCTGGCTCTTCTTCTCCACGGGCGAGTGAAACAGCATCCTGCGAATCAAGGACCCATGGTGAAATAACGATAAAACAAATGATGAGCCAGGAAGATTCGGTTTCTTATTTTGAGAATCAAATATGATTCAAAGTAAAATTCATAAGCATTGTAAGACTCATTGTGATTGAAGCAAGTCGATGCTGAATCTGGACATTATGTTCAGTCCTGATGTTTTCTTGAAGTCAATAGTTGAAAATTGACTACCCCTCAGTAATTGTAGCTACACTAGTCTGCTTACAAGTAAATTCAAAGGTAAGACAATGTTACGAGGACCTTCAGATATATTGTTGTTAGATCATTTCGCCCATTTGCTTACGCTTATTATTTGCAAAGAAAGGGGACAATGCAACCAAATGAAAGATGTACAGTATCTTTACCTCATTAGGGACCACATCCCATAGTCCATCGCTTGCTAGCACAAGCAATTCAAATTCCTCATCTATCTCTTGATCCTGAAACGGCATAATCATAACTTAAGCATGCTAATCTTGATAAACAAACCTGGCTCTACATCATGTAATGCCAACAATTCTATCATTGCCAAACCAATCTCTGTTTTTTAGGCTAAATCTCCCTTCATACAACAGAAGTCTTGGAACCCTCATGGGCAGAACGTTTGCTATCGCTACGACTCTTAAACAAGGCATGGAATTCCGGAACAGTTAATAGATAGTCAAGCAGACAAAGGACGCGCAGATGACAATAAGCTCAGATTTGCATTTTTATTGAAGTTGAAAAGGGGCACCTAGCGAATCAACAAATATAAGATGACCCAAAACATTCGACCCTACATGGATAAGAGAATAAGACTCATGCTTCTGGCTTATGTCACACACTCGAAATCCTTTTTTTCGGTCATAATAAGATGACTAGATGCCAATCAATGCTTACCTGAATCTCAGGTTCTGCAACAACAAATTGCTTCAACATCCGATTCCCAAAAGCACGAGACATAGCTAAAACACCTCCTACCCGCCAGGTGCCTGGTGAATATGCAAACATCTTGACAACTTGTCGCTAAAATTTCTAATCAAAGTAACAGCACAGCGCCAATAAATGACAGATATTATCCAAATAAACAATTTAACACCACTAGCTGGTGCATAATGCAGTACACATGAGGACCATGTCGGCCTTTTGCAACGACAGCAGTTAATTACAAGAAAGTAGTGGCAAAAGAATGAATAAAATCAGACATGCTATCCTGACAATTGAAGTCAGAGAGGTATAGTACAAAAACAAGGGGGTGACCATGCACATAAAAGCATGTCTTTAACGTGTCAATTTGAGAAAGCCAATTCTTCTCAAGCTGCCCCTGTGATGTTAGCCCAAAAGCGTTGAGAGTTTCAAACATTTGAATCCAACCACAATGAGTCCATTTTAATAAAAGTGTCAATTGCAAAGGGTAATTAACAAATTGTCGGCTCTGAAGGTAGGAAGAATGTCCATATTTCCACATCAGTGTTCTGCACTTCTAAAGGAAGAATTGCATTTCAAGTCTCATTGCCCCAATGAACAGTCTACCTCGGGGCTACAGGATTGAGTGTAAAAGCAATTTCAGAAACAAGGGTATCAAGACTCAATTTCAACACAACATGCATCTCTCAAAATTTCAGCTCTCACATGAAGAAGATAGAACAGAAGCATACCTGCCCACATAACAACACCTCCAGCATTTTCAATTCTCTTTCTTTCATCACTTCTATTTGGTTTATGATCTTCAGAAAGAGGAATAGCTGTCCAAACAATAGAAGTATTTAGTGAACTCAAACCACAGCTCCAAAGATCTAATTGGCTCTTTAACATGTGGATATAACTGCAAATAGTATATATTTACTATATATGATTATACTCTGCTGAAGCAAAAGTATCCATTTAGGGTGGCAATGGATTTCTTGAGGTCACTAGATTTATCGCCCGGTAATAAATAAAAAAACTGTTATTAACAACACGAATTAAAGGTACTAAAACTAAGATGACAGATATAATGCATGCCAAAAGGCACAGGAAAGTTTTCAACAACATCAGTAGAATTTGCTCAGACGACAACATGCCTCACATGAATGGTACCTTTGCCAGCTTTTGATATTACAGTCCGAGAGTCTCCCACATTCGCCACGAACAGATGGCTACCCACCAGCACTGCTGTCGAGGCAGTGGAACCATCGTCCCGAAAAGTATCTCGTTCAGATTCCAAAAACTCCACATCAGTCTGCTGATATGTTCCACCTGCAATCAATGTTAAATTCCGAGAGATGTCATGGAATTACACCAACTGATAGTAGGCAAAGAAAAGCTGCATTATTAGATGTATCAAGTGATTTTCAATGTGATGTTTGCAGTAAACAACATACTGCACCGTCACAGTTCACGTCTCAAAAGTAACTATCAGCATCAAAGTAATTATACAAAGGAAAGGAACGCACTTATTGCTAATTTTGTGTCCGTCATAAATTGTGGATGCTTCATAAGATTGTCAAACAAATGCTCCTTCAGATACTCAGCAGCGCGAGAACCACCATGACCTGTAAGATATATTAATGGCATGATATACTTTAAATACTCTGCCATACAAGTATGAAGTGGTATTAACAGCCTTTAAATCTATTATTAATAACATCACACTATTTTGCTCATAGAAGTATCTTATCTTGATTATTACAGTACTTTCACCTAGCTAACTTTCACTTTCCAACAATACATCATCAATTCTGGGGCAAAGTCCTAGGAAACGATCTACAGAATTACAAGACTGTGACGCCAACCTTTTGGCTAGAGATAAATGTTTATTGACAGATTTACATGACCACGATCAGAATGAGCAAGGAGCCTAACCAACAAACAAAACTAATAACTCCCCCACACACTGACAATGTCACCTACCTGTAATTGTAGAAGTTTAAGAAATAGCAACTTATCAATGACAAACTTTCCTAGTAAGGTAAACACGAGCGACAATGAAATTAAGTCTTTTCAAATTCCTGGAAGTTTGATCAGGATTTGGCAATAGCTTCCCATCTTATCATCCTCAATTAACTAGCTTCAACGATAACGTCTGGAGGTTTAACAGCTTCAAACTAAAGACTGTATTGTCCTCATTCAGTCTGCTGCCACTTAACTTCGAGCTCACGTGATCATTTCACTTGTCCACGTCCTCAATGTGTCTTGGCATGCATGCATGACAAAATGTTAAACCTGATCCGTGATAAACAGCTATATGTGTGCCTATACCATTCACCCTCATACCTCCACCCCACAAAATGGCACGAATTGAAAAAAAGACGAGACACCAACTTCCATTTCAAAAGCTGTAACGAAGCGGAATCGTGACTCCAAGACACCCCTATTTTTTTTCTAAGAAGTCAGCAACCTTATCTTCACTTGACATAATTATAGACAACAGGACATGAAACTCTTCTATCTTTTCATATATAAGTGTAAAAGAGAGAATCTAACCATCGAATATTCCAAACATGCAGATTGTTTCTCCATCAATCTTGGAAGTTTTAATATCATAAAAGTCCTCCATGGTAACTCTCTTTCCACGGAAACTGGAGTATCCACAGCTCAGTTTTCCGTCTTCGCTGCAAAAAAGAAAAGAAAAGGAGAATCGATTACTAAACAACCAGTTTCACCTTAGAACAATAAACATCGAGTCAAACTAGCCAAAAGCACGCAATCATGAGCCTACGCAAAAATTCCAATTATTTCTTGCCAATCTCCACAAGAGAGAAACTGCTTAAAAAGAAGGTGTGAGTGTTTGACGAAACGGTTCTGATTTGGCAATGGATGAGGGAGTCAAATGGAGTAGCAGAAAATATAGCATGAAGGGGTATTTCAATATCTGCATCCAAAGAACTAGCTGATAAGCTCCAATTGCATCATAGTAATTACAAAGAAAAAGTTCTTTCTCTGAAAATGTAGAAATGGACTTCAGATTGTTCGCTAAACACATGACATACATCACATGAGTGAGGAGACTCAGATGAAACTAAACAAACATCGAAATGTGAGCTCTCTACGAAATCAAACCCCCACCACTAGAGAAAAATGATGACAAGAAAGAGACTGCCCAAATTAGCTAGAACAATTTGACCCAAAAAAAATTAGCTAGAACAAGAAAAAACCATGTTAGAGTAAGCTATTGGTAAAAAAGAACCTCTTCCATCCTCCACTAGCAATTCCACCATCATCCTCTTTCTCCACCGTCATATCAACAACTGGTTCTTGATTCTCCATCGCTCCTGTGTCAACCATCATCTTGATGCCCGTTCTAATTTTGCAGTTCCACGGCCGATCCAAAGCTAAACCAGAACGTACAGCTCTCACGAAACCGCTTGACGGAAGCCCTCCACGGGTAGATATTCCAATGTGCCCAGCTTGAACAATGACACTCCTTATGCAGCTGGTGCATACCATCTAAATCACCCGATCCAGGCCTTCCTGATGGATACTTCGCGAATGAAACCAACACAACTGATAAGAAAAAGAACAAAGATAATCACAAAGGCAATTACTTTATCTTTCCAAGAATTATCCAGACCGCAACCAATATCAACAGATCATTTATATACCAATCGACCTGACAAATAGAATCATCCGTGCCACAAAAAAGCTATATATATATATATATATATATATATATATGTATTAATCGTAAGGGTCAAAGATGGATTTACGGCTCGGAAAAAGCTAATCTTAGAAAAAGGAAGAAACCAGAATTGACCAAAAAGGGGGGGGAAAAAAATCACGAGACGCACAAAGTAAACAATCCAAACCGCACGACTCGATCTCGAGCTGCTCGATCGCGTCTCCGAAAGGACGCGCCTCTATCCAATTAATCAAGAAGAACGGATCGAAAGAGCGGAATCATCGAACGACCGCCGAGCTGAATCTCTTAAGTCGAATAACGAATGGAAGCCGGTGCGAACGCTCACATCACGGCAGATCTCGCGCGACGAAGCCGGCGAGCTCCAGCTCCGGGAACGAAGCGGCTGAAGATCCGGCCGATCGGAGGGAGCGGCGGCGATCCGGCCCGGGCGGCGGCGGCGGCGGGGGGGCGGGCGGAGGGATCCGAATCCGACGCTGCATATACCAAAGAGCAACAGGCGACCACTCTCCCTCTCTCTCTCTACAGAATCTGCAAACCCTCCCCCTCTCTCTCTCTACACAGATTCTGCAAACCCTAGAGAGAGAGAGAGGGGTTGAAGATGGAGGATTATATAGTGGAGGCAACGAGCGCAGGTGAAACTTAGAGAGAGAGAGGGAAGGAGGGAGGGAGGGAGGAGTGAGATTGCGAAACGGTGCAGAAAGAGAGAGTGGTGGCTTCTCGTAGCTCGGCGCACCGAAGAGGGAAAAGGCAACGTGGCACACTTCATGCATCCCCACTTGGGAGATCCGATACGATGCGGTCGAGACTACGGGACGCGCGCCCCCCCTCCTCCTCCCTTTGCCACCTCACGGCCACGTCACCTGTGGCTGTCAACGGGCCCCCGCCCGCCCGGCCTAAAGAGAGCTTGACAAAATGCTTGAGGGAGAAAATACTGGCTACTGAAGTGATGACAAGTTAGACAAAAAAAAAAAACTAGCCCCATTCGTCGGGCGTCGCGTGTCGCTCGTGGGCCCACCTGTCAGAAAAATCTCTATCTTCGGCACTTGCTTTCTCTCCTCTCTCTCTCTCTCTCTCTCTTCACTACAGTTTCTTCTCGGCTATGGCCCTTAGCTCGAGTTCGAGCTCCGCGTCCATGGCCGCTGCAAGTTTTCAAATCAAAGCTTCCATGGCCACGAGACTCTGGGATTAATTGCCATTACCGCAAGCTCGATGCTCCGTCCGCATGGCTTATGTGAGCTTGAGCTTAAGCATTCATGGCCACGAGATTTCGCAACTCAGGCCGTCATGGCCGACAGCTCGATGCGACACCCCCGGACGTTACGTGCGACACGTGTCCTTTTCGATTATAAATCTTTAATTATTATTTACATGCGGAAGCTAAACAAAATTTCGTCAACAAACTCCCGTACAAGAAAATCGCATGAGTTTAATTAATGTACATATGCTTTTCTATTTATAGAAAACATCAATTCGCAACTTTACGTCGTCCAAACAAAATACAAAAATCCTGGAAAAAAAGTTGGGTTGACTAACACTAGTACACCAATGCTAACTAAATCACCATCCAACCCCAAGGGTTGATGGCCTTCGATATTTTCTTGTTCCCTCCATCGTCATCTCTAGGACCATTCTATAGAACTGAAAAATAATGGGTGAGCCGAAACTCAGTAAATGAAATCTCCAAATTTAAGATAAAAGATCTTTTGACACTTAACCTAGTACCAACAAATACCGTGAGTTCAAGTAGTGAATAACAATTGTAGAAGCACACACTTCATCTTTCTTAAAATGATATGCCAATAGAAATCTTTAACGATATTGCATAAGATCGTTCACTCAAATGCAAGCAGATGGCAAATTATTTCATGATGCATGGGGAATATCTATTCAGTTTTGTCATGAAGTCCACCAACCCATACAAGTGAATTTGTACTTGCCACTGGTTAGGATCCATCTTGACTTATGAGGCGTCCTAAACACTCATGGGGCATCCCAAACACGTCTCAAACACATTGCTAAGAACCGCTCCTTGTCCAAGCCCTTTAGCCCCAGCGATCACTTCCCACCCTCATCGTACCGGGTAGTTACAGGCTCACCAGCTTCCGCTTGGTTCGTCCCCAAATCATACACCTACTAGAGAGGGTCCAAGTTTGGCATCCCCTAGAATATATTATATAACCGACAACGTGACATTGACAATTCATATAATCTAAAAACATGAATATCAACAACTCAAATAATTGATAACGTGAACATCTACAACTCAATTAATGGACAATGTGAACATCAACAACTCAAAGATTGACCACGTGATTAATCGATACACTTAGCTAGTAATTTGATAACTTAATCAAATACAAAAATATCACTTTCAGGTTGAGTATTCGTTGTTTCCACATCTTTCACACAAAAATTGTCATCACATCGTAGAGAAAAATCAAACACCCCTTAGGAAAACCATCAAACACTTCCTAGACAATCCATCAAACACTTCCTAAGCTTAACGATCCAATTCAAGTGAACGCAAAGATTTCAAATACCATCATTAAAACTGACCTACACTAGACAGCAAAGGCAACAAAATATAACGGTCATCAACCAACAAAGTCAAGATACTAAGTAGATCAATCTAACTTAACCCCTGGAGTTTTTAATTACCTTGAACAAGATTAGGCTATTTAAGGCTTTGGTCACCTCATCCAACTCGAAAGATTGGGATAGAAACTTTGATAATATGAGCGTGGTACATTCGCTTTTCCTCACGGTTTTAATGATGTAAGTTGAAGAAATGAGTTGACGAGTGAAAGTTGATGAAGTGGGGGCTTGTGTTCTTTTGAAAGTCCCTCTCAGTCGACTAAAACAAGGAAGAAAAGAGTGGAATTGATTTAACCATGGTTAAGGCATTAATTGTCTTAGGGTTAGAATAATAAGTGTATAGAGTAAGTGTTCCAATGAAATTGATTTATGTGCCCCGTATGCTAATAGCTAGGGTGCAAATGGATTGATATCATCAGCCAAGAAAAGTGATATTTATGTGAAGCCTTCATTTCATTTGGTCAAGTGTGAGCAATAATTAGGGGTGAGCATGATTTTAGGGTAGAACCTAGAATCTGAGAACTTGACCGATGAGAACTTATTAGTTTCATGTTCCAAAGTATGCAGGATAAGTTTCAGGTTTCAAAATTTGGAAAACCTATTTAACGTGTAGGTTCTAAGTAGGTGGAATCTGGAACTTGAAGCCTTAAATTTTAAACAAGTTTTTTGTTTTTTTTCTTGATCTATGTCTTCGCGTGATCCTACAATGTTTCTTGGCGTTAAATGATGAGTGTATAATCTTGAACCACTAGTTTAAGCTTTCATTTTGTAACTTGTTAATGTTTCGTATTAGTCGTTTGTCTAAATATAAGTTGTGGTTAGTGGATCGTAATAGTAAGTGGTAGTTATTAAAGGTGATGATTCACTGTAATTGTTCAATTAACAATACAGGTAGAACCTGGGTAGACCTTGGAACCTGTGACAAGGTAAGTTCCAAGTTCCGACAAGTAGGTTTCAGGTTCAAAAAAATGAAGAACCTGTACCCGATGGTAGGTAACTGGAATCTGTAAGGAATCTGAAACCACTCATCCCTAGCAATAATCATTCTAAGCATTAATGAACCAAGGCCAAATTTCATGAGGCAATGCATGACCTCATCATTATCAAGCTCCATATCTTTAAAAGGAAAACGTGTGAGGGATTAAATACTTAGGAAAAATAGAAAAAATAAGCACTAATGGGAAAATTGCCAATTGGTTCGATTATAAGATTTTCATAATAAATATTTGTTAGGTTACTAAAGTATCTACTAAATTAATACGTAACAAGGAAATCGGTGTCGATTCTCAATATCGATAAATCCAAAAATATTATTACAGAACACAAAAATTTTTGAACGTCACACTCAACATATGTCAGCCATGGTCAAAAGGTTGTGCTCGAGCTCGCGCTCTAGGCTCGAATCCCAAGCTCTGAGGCTATGGTGATCGCGAGACTTCGGATTGAGAATCCTTGGCCATAAGTCTCTGGATCTAGCGGCTATGGACGAGATTCGAAACTCAAGCGACCATGATAAGCCATGGCCATAAGCTTGAAGCTCGAACATGCTTGCAACCACGAGCTCAAGCTATATCGCCATGGAGGCCGAGATGTTGGGCTCAAGCTCAAGCTCTATGGCCATGGTGGTCGCAAAGAAGTGAGAAGAAAAGCAAGTGCAGGAGAGAGAGATGACGAGAAAAGCAAGTGCAGAAGAGAGAGAATATTTTAATTGGTGGGCCCGCGAGCTGACACATGACAAACGATGAATGGGCTAGTCTTTTGTTAACTTGTCATCGCTTTGGTCGCCAATATTTTCTTGAGTTGAGGTGTTTTGGAAACAAAATTATAAAAGAAAAAATTATAAAAAAATTTCAAACTATATTCACCATTACACATTTATTTTAAACATTTTTTTGTAATATAAAAGCCTCAAACTGTATTCACAACATGACGTCTCATTTACTCTGAACTTTTCTTGTGACATCAAAACTCTACTTGAACATGTGTGACACATTTACCTTCCATCGAGAGTACATGATTTTTTAGCCAAAACGACGTCATGTCAACACAGTTTGCCTTCCGCAGTTCATGAAGGGATATTTTTAACGGTATTTATTAACAGAATATTGACGAGGGTAAAAGTGTCAAACAAGTCAAGTTTTGGCCTTTTGGTATCACAAAAAAGTTTAAAGTAAATGCGTCACAGTGAGTACAATTTGAAGTTTTTTGGTAACTTTTTTTTCCAAATTATAAATGCCTTTGAATCTAACTTAGCATCTCCAAAAGTCCTTAATTCAATGCAAGTCCCACCTAGTATTGGCATTTAGCATTTTCAGAATGCTCCTTTCAAGGTTAATGAATTCTTTTTTTTTTCCAACTTTGCCCTCACCAATATTCTCATATTTCAGTTTTGCCCTCAAAATCACTGTTCATGTCCTCCTCACTGAACCAAACGTTCCAAATCCATATCTGGTTGCTGGTATGATGCCCCACTAATGGTCACTTGGCTCGCCAACGGTTGTTCAGTGTGACAGAGGGTCTGGGTTCGCGCAACTTAGTCAACGATTGCAGGGATGGATTGCCAAATTCATGGGAGCCTCGGTGTCACCTCGCCCGACCTCTTTGACAATTCGATCTTTGCCAGTTGATCGCTCCGGAAACCCTAGCATCAATCCGGTTCGTGTTGTCGTCATCGTCGAGACCACTGGTTTGTCAGTTTCTCAAGGACCCATCTTTGGTTCGTGTTGTATGGGGCTTGAGTCTGTTAATTTAAGCTTAGATGAAACTGCGTTGGTACTTGAATTCTGGGGTGATTGCTAGTTTGAGTGTTGTTTAAGTTTATTTGGAATAAGGTTGGTTTGTTGATGTACTTTTTGGTTCGAAGCACACTAATTGCTTGCTCTCCTGCTTTATTAGAAGATGGAGAAACTGAAGGTCGAATACTTTTAGCTTGCGGTTTAGTGTTGATTCTTAATAG